GGGGAGCCAGGCTTCTCTGAGAGACATGCACGGACATATGCAGCACTGCCGAGCAAAAAGGATACGTTTTTCAGAAGATTAAGGCACTTTTTTCCTTGAGTCTTTCAGCTGAACCCTTCAAAAGACTGGCACAGTGTCATAGCTGAAAGAGGAGTAAATGAATTGATTTGATTATTTTTGGGTGAGTCTGGATCAATCGCATTCTTTCCCCTCGTCAGAACGGGGTCGTTTAGCCCTGAGGGCTGAGGGGTGTAATCATCTGAGACAGGCGGAGCACGCCATTTGCCCAGGCCTGGAGGGGTTCTGATTTCAATGCTCCATTATAAGCTGTGTTAACAGCAAATAACATAAATTCCTCTTGGAGAACACACACAGTTACACACAGCCACGTTGCATTTGAGCACGTATAAACACACTGAGACACAAAGGAAATCCTTCAGACAGACGTGTAGGGAAGGGAGGAGAGTCACACACATTCCATACTATTACAAATGTATATCGCCCGGCTACTGAAAGGAGAGCCTAAATAAGAAAATATCATGACAATCAAATAGAACTTCACTCAGATCTGTGTTTGTGCGGCGTTAAAAAAAAAAAAATTTGTCATATCAGTTCAAATGGCAGTGGACACAAAATTTAGGCTGCCTGGCAGTAAAACGTATACAGTACGGAAGCACGTTTGTATAAACTGTGACGGAGGAAATCGATCCTTCACACTGCTCCACATGAGGAGAGCCAGATGGATCCTGTTAACAGTTCTTAAATGAATTCCACGCTCTCCAAGTCCTGTGACATTCAGGGAAGCTGTTACATTAAAATTCCCAGCGTTTTGACAATTCCAAACAAATTTACACAGGCCGAGCTGCGCTGCTGAGGCTGAGAGCTGACTGGGCCGTCCACACTTTGTGTCAAGGTTATCACAAGACTGTATTTGTCTAAGACTGACAGGACCCACTCTGAAACCTAACTCCAGATCAGTTACTGTGGGATGAAACTTGGTGGAGAAGGAAAAAAGTGAGGGAGGAAGAGAGGAAGAATGATTTATTTTAAATAGCCAAAAGTAGGCTGCAGATGTTACCTGAACATCTGTAAGACAGGCAGGTATAGGCTTGCCCTAATGGTAATTAGGCTATGAATGGCTGAAGAGGAGGTCTGTGTGTTACTGTGAAATTGTCACTTCTAATCCTAGATGTTTTTTTCTACTTTGTGTTGCAGTTACTTGAAAAAAATTCCTGCAACATCCACATCTTAAACAGAAACTAAGCAAAGTCCCTGTTAACGTTGGAGTATTTGCATTATGTCCAAAACACTGTCAACGCTGCTCTCACAAGTAATAACTTGCCAAAGCAGGCCACTATGTGTAAGTGTATATAACAATTTATTTTTGCAATTCAAACATTCATGGTTGGTATGCAAAGTAAAATTATTTCAGGTTGGGGCCACTGTCAATTATCCCCTTAGTTACAGGATGTTGGCTGGTAAGTAAATATTGAGATGGTTCCTCAAGTGTGTAGATCCTGGAGCTGAGCTAAGCAAATGGAGGTTGTTACGGGTCAAGCAAAGAGTGGTGAACCAATTAAAATCTATCAAGCTCAATCATATGACATTACCAACAAATCTAATAAAGAACACATTCTACAGTTAAGTAGTTTTGTCTGGAATGCCCTTCTGTTCCTGTCTCATGTTGTACCATAGAATGTAACCTTTAATACACATCTTGTGCAACCTAAGAGCACAGCAAGAATATGTACTTCACTAAGGAAGTAAAGCTGACCTTATATACCATTCATTCTGTCAACAGTAGACTGAAGAAAGAAAAAGACAAACGTATGTATGGCGAACAGCAACGTCTTACATCTTATTTTAAACAATGGGGAATTTAATCAGATGAGGCAGGAGGGAAAAAATTCAAATGGATTTGTCAACATAAAGAAGAGAAGCTGTGGCTGAGAGAAATCTAAAGTTAAGTAATTTGCACAAGACTTTCATTATGTAGGAACCTTGTGGAATTGAGAGTTATCCCCCAGCTTCTTCGTTTTCCCAGAACTGCATTAAGTGCAGAGATGAGATTAGTTTGCCAAGAGATTGAATTGGACATGCCTCTGGATTTTACTTCTGCAATACACAAATAAAGCATGATACAACTTTGCTAGAGGCTGAAATGTCGAAAGCAAACTATAAATAAATAAATCATGACCAAATTGAATGCCCTGCCTACACTAATATTTATATATAAAAAGTACTCATTTAAAAGACACAGATTACAGCAACTGTAAAACCTAATTTTTACCAAACAGCAGTCAAAGCACTTAAAATTTGTGCAAAAATGACTGTGAAGCTATATTTATCTGACAAAATATAGTGTGCAATTTGATCAGTGAAGCAGCAGTGGGGCCAAGGGGTTGAAGCGCCAGTTGCACAACAGAAAGAAAAGTCACAGGCTCAAATCCGAAAAAGTGACCCTGATAAAGACAACGGACAGCCCTGACTGAGAGTTGTTTTGGATGTTAAATATGTAAAAATTCGAATGAAATGTCAGACAGAAAAAGAGTGGCACTGATCTTTAGTTGAGATGACGGATGAATCTTGAGAAGAGAGCAGGAGGTTTGAGGGATGGAGTGGGGGAGGGAGATGAGGAGAAGGCAGAGCATGGTCACTGCTGCCCCTGGGCTGACTTGTAGATAACCACAATTCCCCTGGTCTGTCGCTGCCTCTCACCTATTTACGTCTATAACTTGCTCTGTGGCACTCATTTTCGCTGTGACCTCGGTAATAACAAGTAATTTCTGTTTATCTGTTTCCCTCTGAGCAAACTTCATATTACCCCTATTCCTCTCTCTCTGTCTCATCCTGAAACCTGACCTTATCTACTGTAACTCCCTTTCTTGCCTCACATAATGAAAAACAACAACAACAACAACAACAAAGAAAAGTCTTTTTACCCTACACAAGCCTGAACCAATCCTCACCAGTATTCCAGGCTCATTTGCAATGCTTAACACAATTTAAAGACACAAAAGACAGACTGAAGACAGAGAAATGGGTGAAGGGGGCAAACATGCAGTAAATTAATTCTGTGAATTAGGGCTGGTAATGTACCTGACCTTGGAAACTGTCAAACTCTTCTCTCTGCTCAATTCACACTCCATTACAACCCTAATAGCACCAATTAGAGCTTTATTTAGCTGTGTCATCCCCAAATCCCCCCTTCAGAGAAGAGGGAGAATAATTATTTATCTTTCCATCCTCCAGGCTAAATTATAAGTACGAATATCACATCTGAAGAGAGAGATGGATAGGTGTGTAAGGGCAGAGGGATGGGTGAATTTTCTTGTTGGGAGGGCTGGATCATGAAAGCACAGAGTGGAGAGAAACTAAGAAAAACTGTTATTCCAGTAAAGATTAGCAATGGAGTAGGTCATTCCAGAACAGATTTTTATTAGCATTGCTGTAGATATCGATTGTTGGGTCACTGAGTCAGCGAGGCAGGAGGGAACTAAATGAAAATGGAATGTAAGTGATCACCTGCTATGTAATGCTGTTACTCTTTATTACTTCTAGATAAATATGATAGATACGCATTCATGTCTGCAATAATGTGAATTGAGTACACCGCTTCATCACTGAGACCTTACATATGGGGTCATGTCAGACTCTCATATGTTTTAATTTTATTACAGTATAAATAGATAAATATGATACACCGATGTTCTTGTCGAGCTTAACGATCTCCGGGTAGGCATTTTTATCAGAGAAATCCATAGGGTCAACCTCGAGGCCACGACACGCAGATATCACTGATTTCATAATGAAGGAATAAAAATGATGAGTTCCCAACCTGGTGAAAGGCCTCGACTATAAGTCAAAATCTCTCCGCCCTCCCCTTCTTCCCTGCCAACTTCCACTTGCACTTTTTTTACTGCACAGGAGAGGCTTTTAAATTTGTTCTGCCCAAAACCCCAAATGTAAAATCTTGCCTCAACATGAAAACAAAAGGCTCATTAAAGCATACTGTTAACTCACCATATGGAGGCCCACCAGCATTAGGATTATGGCCTGTGTTGTATACCAGGCTACAGTACAAGACACCAGGCTGTACAATATTAGTGCAGACTAAAGTTTCTAGGTTAAGCCAGCTGTTCACATTCCCTTCCTTGTCTGACCTCATCCCACTCATGTCAGACTGAATGATCCCACACTAAGTGGATGTATCTGTGTAGCAGGAGTGCCAGTGAACCAAATGGAGAGGTGGGTGGAGTTGTTACCATGGCACTACAACTAAATGTGCCTCCATCAGGTTAGTGATTGGATGGGTAAGAGGCCAGAGGAGAGTTTAAGGGCTTAGACTTTGGAAAGATCATTGCTCAGACCCAGAGACATCTCAAAGTAGGTTTGAGAGGGATCATTATGCCACTTTACTTCACCCAGCCAGCTGAGTCAAACATGCATCACATTGACATACAGGGCACAGGCAGCAGTGGCTTAGCTACTCCACACGTTCTCTGGATACTTTTTAAATTGACCAGTTGCCCTAATCTGGGTCTTTTGAGGGTTCATGTGTACATGTTATGCACAAGCATGCATACACATCCATATACACAAAATAAGCACATTCAGAGTACAAAAAGGGGTGGTACAACTACATTAAAGAAAACAGAGCAGAATGTGTGATAATTAGCATTCATCTGAGAGTTATTTTTCTTGAATTGTCTATAGTCTATAGTCTATAAAGTCTATAAAATGTCGGAAAATTGTTGTGATGCCCACTGCAATTCCCAAGGTGATGTCTTGAAATTGCTTATTTTGTGTGACCATGACTCTAAACCCCAAAGATTTCATTTACAATTACATAAAACAGAGAAAACAAACAGATCCGCATGTTAGTAAAGCTTGGTCAAAACATCACAAAACCTGTTTTAGTACCCCCCCCTCAAATACAAAAAACAAACAAAAAAAAAAAACACATACAGCAGCAGACATTATGGGATGGGCCTTGTTACCTTGTCACATCTCATGAGGCCCAGGTAGCGGAGGGACTTGCTGCTCTGAGCGATCTGTGTGGCTCCCTGGTCTGTGATGTCCTTACACCAGCCGGCATCCACAGTCTCTATAGTACTGCTGTACTGGCCTATGGCTATCAGAGCTGTGGACACAGGAGCAAGATAGACAGAGGGAGTGAGGAGAGGGGGGAGGAAGGAAGGAGGGAGAGAAACAAGAAAAGGTGTTAGTCTGACAACCTTTCTCATGCAAATGTGGCAGCATCATTCTCCCAGAGAGACACACAGAAATTCAAGATGAAACCGAGCCAAGTCATCTGGCCAGCTGTGACACATAATTCACACCACCTTGAAAATACTGGGTAACACGCTGAAGCACATACATATGCACAAATCTCGCACACACCCAAGCTTGTTCAGAGCGCTGCAGGATTCATCCATTAGAGCGCTGGCATAAGTTATAGCACTGAAAGGCAATGTCACCGTGCCAGGGTAAAGTGTGACACCATGCCAGTGTATGATTTAATTCTGCTTGTGTGCGTGTGTGTGTGTGTATGCGCGCACACGTGCATGTATTTGTATTTACTGCTGCCAGAGCAGAAACACAGTGCCAGGGTAAAGAGTATCCACCAAAAAAAATATCTGTCAGTGTCTGGGGACTTTGTTACACCTCAGAGCATGTGTGCATACATACTTTTTTTTTCTCTCTCTCTCTCACACACACACACACACCCCATACATCACCCATGTGTTGTTCTTTTGATAGTCTTAATTTATTTTGCAATAGAGCACAAATTAAAATGTGCAGCTGACAAACAAGATGAGATTAAATCTTCTATAATCTATCTTGAATACAGACATACTGTAGCATTAACATACAAACTAACACAGAGGCACAACAATCTTCCTCATCAATCTTTGACCCGTCAATTGTTGGGCAGATGGAGGAGACCTGTGCTCCACCAGTCGATTGATCGTGCTGCTCGGTGATCGATTGGCAGGGCCTCGGCTTTGTTCTCCACTCTCTCACAACCATCACTAATGATAGTGGGAAGGGAGGAGGAGGTACGAGGGATGAGAGAAAGATGAAAGGTGGAGGGTAAAGACAGAGAAAGCCTTTGACAGCACCTTCAAATAGTAACTTAGCCCTGATGTTGTTTTCTCATTTGCAGAACTCCATTTTGCTTCAAATCAGTTTTGCTTGAGACTCAAACGTCTCCACTTCAATAGGGAGGGAAAAATGTATCTTTACAAACTTTCTTGTGCTGAATCTCTCCTTCTCTACATTTCTCACTTTTATCACCAGCACTTTTCAAAAATACCTCCAAATATTACAGTACAGTATTAAATAACATCCAATCACGAGTGTGTGCTTACACTGTGGAGCGGAAGCTTGTTCCCACAGGAGAAGGGAAATGAATAATCCTATGCTTTTGGAATCAACTGCATGTATTTAACCCTCTTTCCTCCTGTCCAGTTGTAACTATGTAATGTAGAGTCTCCTCTAAACACACACACACACACACACACACGCGAACCATCTTGTATACAGTATGTAACATATGTAATATATAGCTTTGGGCACATGGAGCGCTCCACATGTGGTTCCTTTTGTACTTCAGTATGCTCTGGGATGCCATGCATAATGGCACATTACAGCTAAACCGGCAGTAACATGGCTTTGAAGCTGCAGAATGTTTCATGTAAAAAGCACCATGGGGAAGAGGCTCCATCAGGCCAGATGGGTGAGCAGCACACAGAGTAGCCATGTTGTTTTTTGACAAGTGGTGACCTGGCAAAGTATTCAAAAAATGGAGACATGTGTGTTTTTGTGTGTTTGTGGGTGTGTGAGACTAGAAAGATGTCAAGTAGGTGAATGGCTCTCCTTCCCATTCCCCTTGTCATGCCCAATCATATGATCCCAAATTCGATTACCTGGGTTCAGACCACTCGTCTGATGTTAAGACGCACATATTGGTGCTGTTAAAACCCCCTCGCAGAGCAGTTGTCTGAGGAACAAGGAGATCAAATAAAAGAGGAGAGCTTCCCAACCAAACAACAGACCTCCCTCTACTTCCCCACTCCCAGTCCCTTTTTCTTCCCCTTCAACTTAACTTCTTTCAACCTGACAAAGTGAGGGGATAGAAGGAGACAGGTGCCTACCACGGTGAATGCATAAGAAGTGCGAGTGAATACATTGTCCATGCATTTCCTGATTACTGTGGTGCACTCACCTAACACAACCCACCTAATCTGAATTACTGATTTACAGGCTAGATACTTCATAAAGAAAACATGTGGTCGTTTGAGAAACTGCAGGGAGAAAGAGAAGAGCAAATAAGTTAAACTACAGAGAGTCAGATAATGCCTTAGTCAGGATGAGCCAAGTGTTAGGCTGTTTAGACTTGTTTAGTACTCTATCAACAAGTTCATCTGGTCGCCTTACATTCTAATATCCCTGCGTGCGCTCTGCTTCTCTCCCTCTCCCTTTGATCCTCTCTCAGGAGACTGTAAACTCCAGCTAATGCCAGTGGCAAATGGAAATCGTTGGCTACTTTTGCAAAGGAGAAGAGCATTCAGTGAAACCTTTTAACTACAGTCGAACAGTTTTGTTCACCTTGTCAGAGAGCAATTGGAGCTCAGTCCCTTGTAATGTAAGACAGTGGTGAAACACAAATGTAAAATATACAATATACTTTACATACAAAAGTGTGTAAAGAAGTGTCTTACTTGCTTACATAATGATACCATAATTTGGTTTATGTTTAAATACAATGGTACAGCAGTCTTCTCATTATGAAGTAGTGAAACTAGTGAAAATAGTACGTCTTTGCATAGTCACTTATAAATACTTACACAGAGTTGTACACAATACAATTCACATAGATTGCTAATCAACTTCTTAGAACACAGAAATGAATTCAGTAAATGTATTTGGGGAAAAAAACCCATAACCTTTTAAAGTAAAAGCAGAGCTAGGTATCAGATATATTAGAGAAAAGGCTTTGATTATATTTTGGAAAACGTCTGCTAGATTTTTTTCAAACAGGGCTCTTCCATACACTTGATGCCTTTTAATAGTATACCAAATTATAAACGCAAAACTTTAGTTAGCACATAGTTTAGCACATTTTCGAGTGGCCTTTTATTGTGGCCAGCCTGAGGCACACCTGTGTAATACCCATGCTGTCTGATCAGAATCTTGATATGCCACACCTGTGAGGTGGATGGATTATCTCGGCAAAGGAGAAGTGCTCACTAACACAGATTTTGACAGCTTTGTGAACAACATTTGAGAGAAATAGGCCTTTTGTGTACATAGAGAAAGTCTTAGAGCTTTGAGTTCAGCTCATGATGAAGGGGGGCAAAAAGTGTTGCGTTTATAATTTTGTTTAGTGTACATAGCGTGGGAAGTATCAGTAAGACAATCTTTCATTTGTTAGAGTAATGTTAACTTGCCTTCTGAACCTTGTGAGATGAAATTGTCTCCCCTGATGACTGTTGGGTGTGTGAGACAGTAAATAGCCCTCTGATGAAAACATGTCCACTGAAAATGTCAACCACACAGATGCTCTGAGATATACAGAATGCTGATGGCTACAGGTGCTGACTTAAACTGAGTGATCCTTAGGCCTTAGTTTAATTATATCAATTATATCATTTCAAAATAAAACAAAATAAAATTTAAACATTTCTTAATTCGCTTGTTAGGGTAGTTACTATTAACTGGCATTTACAATGCTGGAAATTTAAACAAAAAAATGTTCAAATATAGGTTTTTCAGAAACATTTGACTGGACCATAGGAGCAGGAAATTGTCTTTCCTGACTGATAATGATTTTCTGTCTGAGAAATAGATGAAGCGATATGCAAGAGAAGTTAAGGTGAAAAAAGGTTGAAGAGTCAGAGGAGAAAAGAGGGGAAAATCCCATTCTGGTAGCAGGAGCTGTGACTGAGTGGTGACTACACACTCACAGACGGTAATGAGGACACACTCTGCTGCCCTGCCTGAAAATGGCTTTAGGATCTGGTTCTGTGTGTGTGTGTGTGTGTGTGTGTGTGTGTGTACACTCCCCCTTTTAGAGTGAAAAGAAGCAGAGAGAGACAGAGATTGACCTTAAATCCTGGATATCATTCATTTTGAACATGGCACATTTCACCTGTCTTTTACCAAGTCTGTCATTTGGGGATAAAACTATGTCATCATACAAGAAACAGGTGGGGAACACATTTAAAGTCAATTGCTTTAGTTTATTTAAACAATTCCTGGGATTTGGGCCAACATATCTTCTTGTCAATCAATCACCAAGCAACAAAACAGTCAACAGATCAATATAACTAGTGACATGGACCATTTAGTGCCTTTAGGAATGATATCTCTGTGTCAAAACCAGAGCCTGCAACCGCTCATGGCAACATACCTCACAATTCTTTCACTAAGACCTTCCCAAATATTAGAAGTCTTTGCACTACTTGTATCTTTCAGTTAGGAACCAAGCTGACAAATGTCAAACAAAGTTGTATAACCAAGTAAAACCCTAAATCTTTGGTGTTCCATTAACTCCTACATTATCTCCTGACAGAGATTCATAACCTATTACTTTTCCATATCAGGCACAAGCTGTTATCAAACACCATAAATAGTGGATTTATCCAAACATAAGAGCAGTTCTAGGCTAAGGTAACCGTACTCCTAACAGCGGGGTCAGCAGTTGGTCAATCCTGTGATGACCGCAACATGAGAAAAAACCTTCCTTAATCAGCTTATTCTCCTATCTCTATACCTGACCTCAGAGCTTCAGGGGTTAAGCATCTTTTGCAGGCTTATTAGATATTCACTTATTACATTCTCTTAAATGATGGTGTGCCATTACTGCTATCTTATTGCTCTGAAGCCATCCTCTTGCCTGTGTGCTGTAACCCTATCCACCACACTGTAGCCACTGATGAAGACAGAAAGCTTACGAAAGAAGGGATGGTATATGGTTAAGATTTACTCTGATGCAGTGTGTGCATGTGTGCGGAGTGTGTGTGTGTGTGTGTGTGTGTGTATAAATATGGCAGCCGGGACAACAGAAAAGGGCTTATTATGGCTGATGTATTCCAGAGAACACAACTGTCATGTCTAATGTGAAAGACATTCACT